AGACGCAGACAGCCACTCGCTGCTGAGAGACCTGGACACAAAGACCGCGTGCCAGCTGCAGACGCAAGTTTTTCCCAAGCCTAGGGGCTCGACCCGCCTTCACCCAGTCACTGAGGGGCCCTGGACTTTGGAACCCCCGGAGGACTCGGGCTTTCCTCCGCACCCAGGATGTCTCCCTCTCCACGGCTCTGGCCGATCGGCCCTAGGATGAGCCTAGAGACACAAGGGAAACTGAGGACGCATGGGTGCCGCATCTCGGAGCTCTCGCATTAGTGATGGGGAGAAGGGGTTCTTCTCCGGGGTCCCCTTCGGATCTCTTGCTGTGGGCGGCGAGCCATCGGACTGGCCCAGGCCGGTACCCCAAGCTAGACTTCTGAGGTTCTGGGGCTCTTGGGCCGGTGCCTTGGGAAGGGGAGGCCACCGGTGTGAAAATCCAGGAATGGAGGGGGCTCTGGGTCTCCTGGTACCTGAGTCAGCCGCGCTCGGACTCTGCTCCGGGGGCTGCAGCTCGAAGCTCCGACAAGTCTCCACGTCCAGCCCGAGAGGGGGCGGCCGGGCCCGGCACAGAGAGGCCAGGACCGCGAGCGCCGCCTGGCACCGAGGCCCTCCGGCCCCCCAAACCCCGCTCATGCCCCGTACACTCAGGTCTGAGGAGCAGTGGCTCGCACCCCCCCCCGCGGCCGGGCTGGGGCGGGGCAAGGCGGCCCCAAGAAGACCCTCCCCGCAGCGGCCCCCTGCGGTTCGGCTCTGCTTTTAATCACTTCCCTGCAGGGTCCCCGCCCCTCACGTGGCATCCCGCGGCAGCTGGCAAGTCTGGCGCCTCTCGACCGCCCCCTCCACACGCAGGGACCTGCCCGAGTCCGGGAAGGTTCCAACCCCGCTGTCCCACACAGTGCAGGATTCAAGGCCAGCCGAGCAAGCACCGCGGAGGTGACCTTGGGCCTTTCCGGGACTCAGTTTTCCTTTTCGTAAAAGAGGTGTAATGATTACTGGTACTTCATGAGTTCCCTGGGAATAAAGGTAGTACTTGTGAAAACGTTGGGGAAATTGCCACATGTCACACAAGTGGGCATCGCAATAACACAACATAAAAAGGGATGGCCAGACTGGGGGGCGGGAGAACCCTGCCAAGGTTGTTGATAGGAGAAGTTAGCCAGACTTGCCAAGTCTCAGCTTGGGAGATAAAAGACCCCAAGACTGCGGAGCGAGGGGAACTGCAAAGACTTTCTGAGCCCCACAGTCTTGTGGTCCGAGGCACCGGCACGTTGCTATGGAGACGGAGGCAGCGGCCGTCTCTCTCCATGGCAACGGGAGGAGAAAGTTTCTGGTGAATAGAAATGGGGAGCATTTCAGGAAGGGGTTCGGTTCCCACCAGACCCACCTCCACGCATCAGACCAAAGCCACCAGAAATAATATATTTGTCTATGAAGCATACATAAAAAGGGCCAGAAAGACAGAAAACTAAATAGAAGGCTAGACTGTAAAAGGAGCTCCCCTCGGGAACCGTGAAGTGAGACTCAGAATCAGGATGGTTGGGATGCTTCACTTAACCCTGGAAATCTGCGAGCCATTGCTAACTGCCAGGGGACCGAGCCCGGTAAGGTTCTATCACGGTGGATTCCTGTCCTTCACCTATCACCAATGTGTCACCTTCCCGAGGTGGCATCTTGGAAAGAAACTTTAGCTGGAGCTCCTCCTGCACCTTCAACTACGGGGCTAGTGTGCAACGGAGAGTGGTCGGGGAGGAGGGTCTTTCCTCCGAATTAACACGCTAATTGGAAGTGGCTTAGGCTGTGACTCAGGTTCCGGAGGGAGGAGATTCGGAGCGCCAACTCCAGGCGATCCCCATCGTGCACCTTCTGCACCAGCCTCATCACAGGTCCGTTACAATTGCAAACCCCAGTCAGGAAGGGCCGGGTGTAGCAAGGAAAACGCTGAGGCCCTGTCCGTGGTGCTGAAGGTTCTATTGGTACAACCAGCCTGTGCGCAATGTATTAGGGAACAACGGGGAGGGGCAATTAATTATAGCCGGTTCTCAGCTTCCACCCGGGTCCCTGGAGTCTGCCATAAAGAGATGGAGGATTTCAGGCAGGAGGAACTGAGGAGGCTTGATCCTTGAACCCTGTGCAATCTGGACCACCTTCCAGCCGGTGGTGATGGGTTGCTGTTCCAACAACAGGTAAGCTTCTGCCTCTCCACTTGCCTTCCAACTCACCTGAGGAACCCAAGACTCCCCATCATCCTCCCCACCACAGCCAATGCAAACCTCAGCCCCCAGGAGAGATCGGAGTTCCGAGGCCCCAGGCTACCGGCTCATTAGCAGCTTCCCAAGCGGGGGTTTTGTGTTTATGTAAAACACAATCGGAGAACTGCTCTCTGCCTGTGTTTATGGCAACTCTCACTCCGCGGCAATTTCTCCCTCCCCCTTTCGAGTTCCTGGGGGCATTCACAGAACAAAGAGCCTTGTTTTGCCTTGGCAGAAAATTAAAACAAAAACAAAAACACAGGACCACCTTTCTAAGGGCCCAGGTCTGTAATTCAGGGAAATCAATATTTTGCTTACACTGAGTGGAGGAATCTGCCTCTAAACTAAAGGCAAAGGAGCCTATTCGGAGCAGAGCAGGTGGCAGGAGCTGAGAATTAACAGATAATTTCTCATTGTTCCCGGATCCAGCCTCCACACTCGGCAGGCAGCTCTGCATCTCTGGCATTTCTCAACCTAACAGAGCAAAAGAGGTTCTGCCCTGACAGGACTGCAGGAAAGGGCCGTGCTCCAGGCTCCTAGTGCCAGAATAACTCCACTAAAGCGAGAGACACTGATAAAGGAGATGGGCACAGAGACTGTGGGTGTAAGAGACATGGAGAAACCTATTCAGACACCTATGAAGGTACACATTTACAAAGTGGCACTAAAATTACTTTTTCTTACACTACTACAAGCTTCGCCCTAGCTGTTCTCTTCCTGCCTCGCCATCGACTTCTGATGCCACTGTGGTGAATAGCCAGTATCAAAACAGAAGAAAACTTCCCCCTGTGTCTCTCAAACCCTTCCCCCAATCTCCAAACACATTCTCACACGAAGAAACAAATCCAGACTCCCAGGGTGTCACCCAAATGCCAGGGAGGAAAAGGTGGAATGAAGTGGAATTGTAGATCATTCAACCCTGCAGAGAAAGACTATGCTGCGTGCAGGGTTAAACGTGGGGAAGAGAGGGGGGAGCTTGGAAAATATGGCCAAGTGCCAATCAGGGACATCAGACAGGGTAGTAGGAAGCCTGGAACAGTCACAGCCACTGTCTGGATTTCAGTGTCCTTGTGAAGCAGGGCTCTTCAAGGCTAGAAGCAGAGGACCACTTTCCAAGTGCCCAGCTCACCTTTAGCTCCCCCATCCCGGCCCCAGTGGCTCTTTTATAGCTTTGGCCAGAACTGTCTGAATCTGTGGTCCCCAGACCAGGCTGCTCAGAAGTACAGAATGGGGCTAGAAAGGGGATGTGAGGCAGAATGAGAGATCTGAAACAGAAACCAAAGGTCTCCCACTCCCATGCCCTTGTCATCCTCTCCCTAGATAGCCAAAGTGCACATTCCCCACTCCCATCCCCATCCTCTGCCCTTGGAGTGACCACCCACCCTATGCAGAGCAGTGGTGTCTTGTTGAATTATGCTACAAACAAAATAAATGAGGACCACATTTTTTTTAAATTTGAACCTTGGTAAGAAATCGCTAATGCTGTAGGCGGGAAGAGTGAGCTCCTTTGACATGAACCGATGTGTCATATCATCCTTCCATCTCTGTGCAATTTCTAAATAGGGAGCCCTCTCCCCAGCCTCCCTCCCCTCCCCAGCCCTTCCAGTCCCCAGCAGATGCAAAGGCAGCATCTGATCTAATGCTCATAGCTGGGTAGTCTGACATGCAGGGACAGATACAGGGAACTAGACACAAAGGAGCTCACTGCTTTGTCAAGTACCCAGGAGCAACAGGGGCTCTCTGACCCAGCTTTGAGGGTCCCCTCTGTTCTCTCTACCTCCCATATCCTCTGCTCTCTGAGGTGTTTTCAGAGATCAGAGAGGGTCATCCAGGAGGTATAGTGTTCAGAGGCTGACCTGTACTCATTTGCTAGGCTAGTTCCTGAAAACAGTCAAGTGGGAACTTATCTGATTCAGCCCTGGCAACAGAAAAGTGGCTCTCAGACCCTCTATCCACAGAGTAGTACCTCTTCCTCCTTCATATTGAAAGAAGGTTGGTAGGCTTGTGAAATTTTTATATTTTCCTTTAAAAGGTTATGATAGATTAAAATAGATTTTCTTATATATAAAAGGTATTTAGAAATTAATTATAGAGGACTGGAAGATTTAATCCTGTGTATCTTTGTAAAGATCTCAGCTCTCTGAACTTAGCCATTCCAACTGCCTCTGGGAACCAATTGCTGGCTTGGAGGAAAGTCAATGTCATTGACAAAACACAGAGTCAGAACCTGGGCTAGTCAGCTCCTCAAAACTTGCAGAGCTGGGGAGTCTCCAGAGGGCAGCTTGGAGAGTCTCTGCTACACCTGGGATGTGGCCTGTGCTCAGAGTCCAGCTTCCAGGAAAGGACCTAGCCACAACCTCAGTGTTAGGAATTCTCCCTGAGGAGCCTCCAGAGTTTGTAATCTCAAGACTCTGGCTGTTCCACTAATGAAAGAAAACCAAATAAAATGTCAAAAGTAATTAAAGTGACATGTTAGAAAAGGTCTGCCAAAAGATGTCTTAATCCTTGATTCTGATAGAATTCAGACAGCAAATCAAGGGCTTGAAATCTCCCATGGAATGAAAGGGCCAGGGCCCCTGGAAAGTACAAAGCTGCTTACCAAATTATAGTTTCTCTCTATATTGTAGGATAAAATTCTTTCCCTATCCAAGAGCCCAGGCGGCATCTATGTTTCTGCTGTTTGCTGGAGTGTAGTGACTGGCTGAGCTTCACCTCTTTCCTATACTAACACCTCATTTGTAAAGTGAGAGGCGTTTGATACAACAGTCTCAGGTATTAGCTTCTGTGGGTACCCCTAAAAGCAAGGTATATTACTTAATCTCATTTTACTGGTGAGTCCCACCCCACCACTACCCCCCCCTTTAGGAAGGAGGGAGGGAGGGAGAGAGAGAGACAGACAGACAGAGACAGAGACAGAGACAGAGACAGACAGACAGGCAGATAGACAGACAGACAGACCCTGGATTCACAGCCAAAGTAGAGGCAGAACCGGAGCTCAAGCCTGTGTCTTCATTCATGTGTGCCCTCTCTCAGCACTCACCAAGGTTTTCACTGAGACCCAGTTGCAGAAGGTGAAGACATGGCTCAGATTCTTGTACATGGCAACCTTCAAATACACCACACCATATGCAGATCTCTGAGCTCTGCTCCAGGCAGCTATCCTGGGTTGCTGGGGAGAGAGTGACATTAATTTAAGAAAGAGTGGCATTGACCTCTATGTTGTACAAATACTCCTGTCTATATTAACTGGGAAACTTCTGTAGCATGGTTCTCTCTAAATTTCCTTCCTTTTGAGTTCTCTACTCTGAACCTTTCCATTTTCTCCAGGGTTCAGCTCTCCTTCTGTGTCCCTGTATACTTTCTCCAAGTGGCCTACTCTCCTCT